CATAGATCATCGGCATTGCTATATACAAGAAAGTCCAACAGCAAGAGATGGAAAGAGAAATTCCATTTAAAGTTACTGTAGACAGTATAAAATATTTGGGAGTCTACCTCCTGAAGCAAACCCAGGAACTCTATGAACACAATTACAAAACACCTTTCACAGAAATAAAGTCAGATCTAAATAATTAGAAAAAATCAGTTGTTTATGGGTAGGCCGAGCTAATGTAATAAAAGTGACAATGCTACCTAAGCTAATTTACTTGTTCAGTGCCATACCAATCAAACCACCAAAAAATTATTTTACAGAGTTAGAAAAAATAATAACAAGAGTCATTCGGAAGAACAGAAGGTCGTGAATATCAAAGGAACTAATGAAAAGAAATGCGGGGGAAGGTGGCCTAGCCATTCCAGATCTTAAATTGTATTATAAAGCAGCAATCATCAAAACTGCTTGGTTAAGAAATAGAGTGGTGGATCAGCGGAATAGATTAAATATGCAAGACACAGTAGTGAATGACTATAGTAATCTGTTATTTGATAAACCCAAAGATCCCAGCTTCTGGGATAAGAACCCACTCTGAAAAAAAAAAAACTGCTGGGAAAACTGGAAAAGAGTATGGCAGAAACTAGGCATAGACCCAAATCTCACACCATATACCAGAATAAAGTCAAAATGGGTTCATGATTTAGATATAAATGCTGATACTATAAGCAAACTGGGAGAGCAAGGAATAGTTTACCTATCAGATCTATGGAGAACAGAAGAATTCATGACCAAACAGAAGACAGAGAAGATTATGAAAAGCAAAATGGATAATTTTGATTACATTAAACTGAAAAGTTTTTGCACAAACAAAACCAATCCAACTGAAATCGGAAGGAAGGTAGAAAATTGGAAAAGAATTTTTAAAATCAGTCTCTCTCAGAAGGGTCTCATTTCTAACATATAGACAGAATTAAGTCAAATTTATAAGAATACAAGCCGTTCCCAATTGATAAATGGTCCAAGGGTATGAACAGACAGTTCTCAGATGAAGAAATTAAAGCCATCTAAATTCATATGAAAAAGTGCTCTAAATCAGTATAAATTAGAGATAGGCAAATCAAAGCAACTCTGAGGTACCACTTACGCATTGTTGGTGGAGTTGTGAAATGATTCTACCATTTTGGAGAATAATGTGGAACTATGCCCAAAGGGCTATAAAAATGTGCATACTCTTTGACCCAGCAATAGCACTTCTAGGGCTATATCCAAAAGAGATCATAACAAATGGGAAAAGGACCTACATGTGCAAAAATATTCATAGCAGCTGTTTTTGTGGTGGCAAAGAATTGGAAATTGAGAGGATGCCCATCAACTGGGGAATGGTTGAGCAAGTTGTAGTATATGAATGTAATGGAATTCTATTGTGCTATAAGAAATAATGAACAGGCTGACTTCAGAAAAACCTGGAAAGACTTGCATGGTCTCATGCTGAGTGTAGTGAGCAGAACCAAGAGAACATTTTGCAATAGCAGCCACTCTGTGCAATGACTAATATTGATAAACTTAACCCTTCCTAGCAGTATGAGGATGTAAGACATCTCTAGAGGCCTCCTGATGGAAAATGTTACCCACATCCAAAGAAAGAACTATGGAAGTTGAATTGTTATTTTTTTCTCTTCTGCTGATTTTTGTTTCCTCTTCCTGATGATTCCTACTTTTGGTTTAGTTTTTACTTATAACACCACTAATGAGAAAATATGTTTAATAGGAATGTGTACATAGCCTATATTAGATTGTGTGCCATCTTGGAGAGGATGGTGGTGAGGAAGGGGGAGAAAAATTTTAAACACAAAAACATATGGAAGTGATTATTGATAAATCAAAATAAATTAATTAACTTTTTAAAAAAGGATATAAATATGTTCATTCTTTTAGAGTAATAAAAAATAAGAGGAATTTAAGGACAATCAACATCCATGCAATATATCTATAAAACACATGTGATATTGTGAAGTTAAGCTAACAATACACATGTAGCTACTACTAGAAATATTGTTTACGCACAAAAATGAAGAAAAATAATTAGAGACATGCACATTATTCCATATCAGGACATGCCAATTTGCTAAAAATGACTTCACCATTTAAATTAATTTCTGCATTTAATTACAAAAAATCAAACTTCTAAGCTGTTACTTGTTATAAATAGTCAAAATAATTCAACATTTATACAGAGAAACAAAAGATATTGAATGACAAGGAAATAGAAAGCAGGAATTAAGTGAATCTAACATAAGATTTCAACCTATGTTATGAAGTAATCATCATCAGGACTCCCTGGTGTTGGTTAAAAAATGATAAGTGAACTAAATAAGTCAGATAGAAAACCAAATGAAAAGAGCAGTGCATTATTCAATATGCCTAGGAACATAAACACAAAGGGAAGTTTTGTACATTCATTCACCAGAATTGCTGCATAAAATGGCAGGTAGTGAGGCAGAAATTAGTTTTAAATGCACATGTAACACTACATGTGACAATAGGGACCAAATAAGTATGCAGTCTTAATACAAAAAAGTTACGGAAAAAAGGAATGAAAAAACAAAGGCAGGATGGAAGGAAGGAATGCAGGTAAGAATGTAGGAATGCAGGAAGGAAGGAAGAAGGGAAGAAAGGAAGGAAGAAAAAACAAAAAGAAGTATACTTTCCAATTGTGACTAAGGTGAAATTTTTAGTATAAAAAATATAAAACATTTTAGATGAATAAAGTCACTGCAACAAGAATAAGGAGACAAGAAGTAGGGTAGGAAAACATTTACAATTAATACCTCTGATAATCTGATATCCATGTTATATATGACAAAAATATTATCCAATTATTAAGTGACTGAGGAGACTATAAAATGTTTTCTTTTTAAAAATATATATTTATGTCTTTTGTTTGTGCAGCAATGTAATTTCCAAATGAATCTCACTCTTCCCTTGCTGAGTAGGCCATCCCTTTTAATAGAGAATCAAAAAGAGAAAAGAGAAAAACATTAATTCAGTAAAAATAACCAACAGCCAAGTCTCCCATAACGTGAAATTGAACATTTTCTCAAAAGAATTTCAAGGCGTCTACAGCCATTTTAAAGATTATTCCAAAGCTTTATTATAAGATGAATGAAATGAAAACAACTCTGAAGGTTTTAGTGTTATAACTCTCAAACCAGTAGTTATTTAAAGATGTATACAGTTTGCTTTTGAGGGATAATAGGCAGCAATGTGGTGTAGTGGATAGAGAGCTGGGCCTGAAGTCAAAGACTCATCTTCATGAGTTTGAACCTGGCTTCAGACACGAGTCAGGGCAAGTCATGCTGGCCAAGTCATTCAACTCTGTTTGCTTCAGTTCCTCATCTGTTAAATGAGCTGGAGAAGGAAACGGCAAATGACTCAAGAATCTTTACCAAGAAAACCCCAAATGGGATCATGAAGATTCAGACGTGTCTGGAAAGACTGAAGAACAATAGCAATGGGAAGACAGAGACATTTCGACAGTTTCAGTCAAGCTGTTGATAGGTCCACAATTTTTTAAAAAACAAATTAGGAATGAAGAAGACTAGTTAGTAATTCATTTAAATCCTTTCTCTCAATCTCATTACTTTGCATATAGGTCAAGGAGGTCAAAGTCAGAAGGAAGAGTCTTTTCTATAAGAGGTTATTTATAATATATTTTTAATTGTAAAAAACAAAACTTGAAATGAAAATGCTCAAATACTAGAGGATGGCTGAATAAATTATAATTATATGAATATGATAAACTATTTATTTAATTATTAGGGATGAAGAATATGATAAATTAAGAGAAATGTCAACAATTTTGTGAGCTCATATAGAGTGAAATAAGCTGAAGTAGGAGAACAATATGCACAATGACTATAGTAATGTGAATAGAAATCCCAATAATGTTCAACTGTAATGAACAATCTCAGTCCTAGGTAATAGATGATGAATCAATTTTCCCTCAATGGGAAAACTTATAGGTAAACGTTTGCACCTGACTCTGCTACCTACTTACTGTTCGTGGACCAGTCACTGCACCACTTGACTTCATGCTCTTTGCCTGGTTAATAAGGAGGTTGGACTATATGGCCTCCAAAATCCCTTCCCATTCTAAGTCTTTGACCTAGTTCCTATGAATCTATGAATCTGGGAAGGAAACAAGCTGAGTGAATTGTGGATGGGATATCAAAAGGAAATAAGAGAGGGAAAGCCTCTTCACCTGGAGTAGCATTTCATGAAAAGAGGGATTTGTTGAACAGAATATTTGGAAGAAGGATGGAGGGACAAATTAGTTTTGGGGAAGAATCAGTTCTGAACACCAAATATTTATCAGAAGCTCAATTCAGTTAAGTTTTGGGACATATCAGTTAAAATATTGGTGAAGAAGGAATGATTGAGAGAGGCATGGTAGCTTGGTCACATTAAGCCGTACATCAGGTAACCAAAGACTACGGTTGCTGACGTTTACGTAGCTTCTAATTGGAAGGAATGGGGCAGGATCTTGCCTGTACAGTTACAGTATCCAGTGATTTCATTTCTGTTATTTTATCCATCCATTGTATATTGACCTCACTGGATCATTTCCAGCACTGGAAGAAGGTTAGTGATGACATTTAAATGACTTTTGCAACACAGGATATCAAAATACATTCAAGGAGTCCAGGTTTTTTTATGGGAAGAACATCACAAGATAGAAGACTATGCTTTACTGTCATCACAGCATTCTATGTGGGGTTTCCAGCAATGTGACTTCAAAGGCTTTGGCTAACTTAGATTTGGTGATGACTTTTTGGGCAGGAGTTTTGCCAGCCCTCAGACTCAATCCAAACAAAACTTAGGGATGGGAGTGATCTGGACATGAACAATGCCTTCAGAAAGGGGACAGAATGTAATGTTTAAAAGGGACATTGTTCTCTGAGGTCCTTATAAGAGCCGTTGCCCTCAGTCCATGTAGCACAGGTAACATTGACACCATGGCTGCTACCAAGTGGATACTTCTCCTTTCTTCAGTAGCCCTGTTGGGCCTGAGCTCAGCTCAATTCACAGATGAAGGTAAGTGGGGCACACAGAGAATCTATGATTATGTTAACAGGGTTTTGGTGGTGAGTCCAGGCATGATTTGTGTGAGGTCATTTGTGTTAGCCTTCCTCAGTAACTTGGGTACTTTTGTCTTCCTAGAGTTAGATAAATAGGAGGTGATATTCTTGTTTTCCATGTTCTGATGACTCCTCAAATCTCTTTTCTGCCCTAGACTTGAAGCCAAACTCTAATTATTCTTTAAACTCTATTTCTTCTTTGCTTTGGTCATCTATGCTCCTTGCTGTTTCTCATGCACAGCATTCCATACTTTTATCCTGCTCTTCCACCTGCAATACATTTTCTAGTGATCTCTACCTCTTAGAATTCCTAGCTTCTGTTAAAGTTTTGTTTCTGTTATCTCCTGTAGGAAATCTACCTTGAGTTCCTACCTTACTGCCTTCACCTAAGAAATTATTATTTTTTCAATGTTTTGCATTTTATTTTCTATATGCATTCTGTATTTCCCAATAGGATTTAAATTCCTCAACCTCAGAGACTGTTGGCTCTTTCTTTATACACTCAGCACTTAACAAAGTGCATGGTACGTAATAAGCACTTAATATAATCTTAATGAATTATCTGGCACAAAGTATTGATAAGACAAGTAAAATTTTTCGACCTCTGATGAAATGTTTCAATTCCTGGGACTGAAAAAAATCTGTACATTGAATAACATATAGATGATTGAATTTATCATTGTCCTTTTAGATTTTGACAATGTATAGACATTCAGTTCAATTCTTCCCTTTACTGCAGCGAGTTCTTCATTCTAGTCAATGTGTTTATTCACTTCTTCTAAGGTACAGATGATCTCTCTGAGATGAGACTGGTCAGGCAGAGACTAATCTATCTTCTAAAGGGTTATGAATTCCTCCTTAGCCATTAGGCCTTTTATCCCAGGTCAAGAGAAAACTGCATCTTCGTAATATCAATAATCAATCACTCAACAAGCAGTGTTTGCTGGAGATTCAAAATGAAATCCATGAAGCAGAATTAGAATGAAACAGTTTCTACCTTCATGGAACTGACATTCAAAACAGAGCTGACATAAAAAGAATTTTTTTGATGGAAAAGAGATCATCATACCTAAAACTCATCTAAACATTTCCAGATATGACAGTATTTGGCATCCTGCCCAATAAAATTGGGGTGTTGGAATGAAATTTTCTTCTTCTTCTTCTTTTTTTTATCAGAAGTATTTGCAACTTACAGAATCAGCCTAAGTAGAGCAACATAATAATGTCCAACATATGGGATCTCAGGACTCCTAAGTTGCTTTCGTGTTGTACCTCTCAGATATACTGTAATCAAGATATGGAATCATACTTCATAGGGAATAAATCTGGAACTCCTTCTCCCAATGTCAATTAATCTGCCTCTGCTCAACAAGTAAATATCGTAGAGAGTTTCTTGGAGTAGTGAGGTGGTAAGCAATTTGCCTATATCATATGGCCAAATGGTGTCAGAGGTAGAATTTGAACCCAGGATTTTTGACTCTGAAAGCGGTTTTCAATCTACTGTGCCCTTCTGGATCTCAGAGAGATTCTCATCACCATTTTACAAATGAAGAAACTCAGGGTCAGAGAGATTAAATGACTTTCCCCCAGCATAGCCGGCTGGGAGTTCAAAAGCTATGACATGAACTCCAATTCCTTGACTTTATGTCTAGTTTTCTAGGGAAAGGCAACATACTGGGTTAAAAGAAAAGTATTTGGAGTCAAAAGACCTCGGTTAAAATTCTGTCTTTGCCAGTATGACCTTGGCTAACTCACAGTACCTGGCACATGGCTCACAGCTTAATAAAGCTTGTTGACTTGACAATGTTCTTTGAATCCCTCCAGTTTTCCAATTAGAAAGTGAAAGTGCTCCATTAGAGGATCTTTAAGGTATCCTCCAATTCTAAATTCTATGGTTTCAAATCTTATGTGAAAAACAAATATTCTGATAGGCAAAATGTCTTTTAGCATCAGGATATGTAGCTCTCTTGAAATCCTAAAAATGTGGAAAAGGAGATTATTTCCTTCCCTTTGGAGCTGGAGTTATAAGACCCAAGAAAGCCTCTCATACTGGACCAGGGTGAGCAAAAACAAAAGAAAAACTTGTGGACTAAAGTGAAGATGTAGAAAAGTTCATCACTCATTGTTATTTTGTATTTCCCCTCACAAACAAGACTCTGTACAGAATGCAAGTAAGACTGTCAGGTGAAAAACATCCTAACATGCAGCCAAACTTCACTTGGACTTTTCCATTGAAATTGTCTCTTTATGCATCATAAGGTAGAACCTTCCAAGAGCTTTCATATCATAAATTGGGGAGGGTTGTGCTTGAGCCACTTAATGAATCAGTCACTCAGAGAATCAGCTGTTGCGGACGTTTTCTGTGTAACAGGATGAGGCAATTCATGAGAAATTCTTCCCACTTTTTAGAAAAAACAAATTAGCAATCTTTTCCCCTGTCTCCAAATAAGTCTACGAAACTTTCTTTACCCATTCTTACCCTCTTAAATGACTAGAATGTAAGAGGTCGCTAATAGTTTAATTCATGACCATAAGAAATCTTTAGGATGCAGGTACCAATATTCAAATCCAACCTTTCCTTCCTTCTCTTTTCTTTATTCCCTCCTTCTCCCACTTGATTCTTCCTTACCACAGCCAATAAGACCCCTCTCATTCTAAAAAAGCATTTATTCACCCCAAGCTCTAAGAATTTCATGGGATAGAGCCTTCTTTATACCCCATTGAGGCATTTTACTTTGTACCAAAAAGTCATAGGACCTGGAACATTTTAGATACTTAATAAATATTGACTGATGGACAGAGTTCGTAACTAAGGCAAAAAATATATGATGTAAAGTAAATTCTTTCTTAGTCACATGAAGATTGAATGTCTTCATTTAAACTAAGTAGAAGAGTGGAACTTCATAAGAAATATGTAGGAGCTCTGAATATAAAGAGAACATGTGGGCATTCACAAATGAAGGGACACATATGAATGACCAAGACACATATAGAGGGATAATTCATGCTTTTGATATAGCAAGCTGCCATTGCTTTCTGCTGCTGTCACTATATGGGTTGATGCGAGGCCTGTTCCTTGCCAATCATTTATAGGATCATCCATTACATAAATCCATCCAAGCTTACTCTGAGCCTGGGACAAGCCTGGATCTTTTAGATCCTTATTAGATATCTACCAATTAAGTCTGGGTCACTCTCATTCAATTGTACTAAGAAGGTAGCAAAGACTCCATCCTTTGGACAATTAGCCTGTGACTCAAAGCATTCTGTCTGTGTTCATGGCATATCAGGCCTTTTCCTTCATCTGTCTTTTTCATACCTGTACTGTCTCCCCTTAGAGGATGAACAAAATTCAGAAGGACCAGTAGATTCACCAGCACCATTTGACTCCCAGGAAGACGATCAGAACCCTGCCCAGCAACAAGGTGGTAACCAGAAACGTGGACCTCCAGGTGGAAAGCAAGGAGGTCGGCAAGGTGGACAGCAAGGAGGTTGGCAAGGTGGACAGCAAGGTTGGCAAGGTGGACAGCAAGGAGGTCGGCAACGTGGACAGCAAGGAGGTCGGCAAGGTGGACAGCAAGGAGGGCGGCAAGGTGGACTGCAAGGAGGTCGGCAACGTGGACAGCAAGGAGGTCGGCAAGGTGGACAGCAAGGAGGGCGGCAAGGTGGACTGCAAGGAGGTCGGCAAGGTAGACTGCAAGGAGGTCGGCAAGGTGGACAGCAAGGAGGTTGGCAAGGTGGACAGCAAGGAGGTCGTCAAGGTGGACAGCAAGGAGGTCGCCAAGGTGGACAGCAAGGAGGGCGGCAAAGTGGACAGCAAGGAGGTTGGCGAGGTAGACAGCAAGGAGGCCAACAGGGTGGCCATCCAGGTGGCCAATGAAGAGGTCATTCACTCTCCCCACCCCCAAGGTATTTCATTTTTCTTCTCAGTAAACCAATGCCCATGTTTGAATATGTACTCGCTGTCAGCTGACGTCATATGTCCTAAAAGTTTTTAGAGCTGTTTCATCTTTTCTATTAGTTTGATTCTTCATCACTCTTCTCACTACTATTTGCTCACCTTTGCTGATCTATGCACCATTCTCTCTGATAGAGACAGAGAGAGCAAGAAAGAGATGGAGAGATAGAGAAAGAGACAGGCAGACACAGCCACAGCTAGAGATAGAGAGAGAGGGAAGAACAGAGAGAGAGAGAGAGAGAGAGAGAGATCAAAACTTCACCTATTCTTTTCCCTCTCTACTTTATGCTGCCCAGAGTCTCTCTAAAAATTTTGTTGTATTTTCTTTTTAAAGTTATTGTGATATGTGACTTTGTCATTGCCATTGCCATTAGCCAATGAACCAAATCAGGCACAGTTCATCTCCTCTAAGCCTCTTCGTTTCTTCTTTCAGTGCATAAAAAGGAAGATGTGCATTCAGGAGGCACCCTTGAAGTCCTCACAGGGACATGGATATTTGACAGTACGTACCTCTTGATCTACTCCATTGTTTCTTTACAACACCAATAAATACACTAGCAATTAAATGTTGACTCCTGCTTCTCTTGATGGTGTTAGTCATTCAACTTTCAGTGTATTGTGCTCTAGATATAGGGACAGAAGTATGGTCCCCAGGTACTTAGTGCTTTGTTGATTCCAGATTATTCTACAGATGTACAGCACTGACTTGGACTTAGTGGTTTAGTCCTATGTCCCCAAAGTGCACTTTGCTCAAGGTTGGATGAGATCCATGCATATAACAAATATTTTTGATCTCCTTTAAAGTTCATTTTACTTCAAGGATATAGAGAAATATAATGTTCAGAGTTCTGCAACCTCCTCTATAATCTTTAATCATTTCCTTGGAATAGAGTCTGATTTTTTCTCTTTTCCAATATTACTGAGTGGAGCTAAAAATCTAAGAGCAAATCTGCTCACCTCTCAGATCACTCTCAGTCAGTCAATGAGCATTCAGTAAGCACCTAGTAGTGTATGCCAGAGACTGTGGTAAGCACCTAGATATACAGAAAGGTAGAAAGCAAGGATAGCGACCAAAACAAAACCAAAAATACATAATCCCTGATCTCATGGAGCTAACAGTGTAATGGTTGGAGTCATCATTCAAAAAGCTACTTATTTCAGGAGAATTTGAAATGTAATACATATATGAGCAATTTCTAACTGGGAATAGCCAGAGTTCAAAAGAATAGGGAAGAGGCAGGTGTGTTAGGAATCAAATAGTAGCTTAGTTAACTTTAGACTGAGGAAGACAAATTTGACTGTGCTGTAATAGGCTTTTGTGAATAAGGCATAGATCAACATCTTACACCATACATATACCAATATAAAGGCAAAATAGGTAAATGATTTAGATATAAAGAGTGTGGTACTATAAAAGATTCTGGAGAGCAAAGAATGATTTACCTATCAGATCTATGGAGACAGGGAGCATGTATGACCAAAGGAGACACAAAGAAAATTATGAAATGGAAAATGGATCATTTTCATTACATTAAATTAAAATGACATTACATTAAATTAATTCGACATGGAACATTCAATGTTGTCCTACTGTTTGTTTTCTTCTTTACTTCCATTTGTGCCTCACTTGATTCCTCTAGCCAGCTTTTGTTGCCACAGATTTCCCTGAACAGGACTGGAGCATCTTTTAACACTACAAATACTCCCTGTACCAAGAGTAGTGAGGGAGCCTGCCCCAACAAATCGGAGATCGGACCCCTGGCATTTTTCTCAAATAAAGGCAATTATAATGGTGTATATTCAATTTCTGAGATACCCTAGGAATCCCAGAATGGCCTGTTATTCCCATGTCTAGAAGCACTCTGCTACTTGAGTTTCATTCATTCTGCCTGGGGTTCACCCTCTAATGCCCACACTTTTGCAGTTGAATTGCTCCCTTCCTTGACTGTTCTTATGCTGCTCTGCTCTATATCACAGCTTTTCTCCCTTCTGGGGAGGTCTCTCAGCACCCTTGTCTACATCATGCCCCAAAGTATCCTTATTTCCAGAGAACTACTCAACTGAAATTGATCACCAGGTAAGGTTGTGCAGACGTCAACAGAAGAGGTTTGCATTCCTGCCACTGAGGCTCTGTTGGTGGCCATCCAGTCCCTGACTGGCACCGCAGCCACTTTTGGTCTCCTGGGCCTCTCTTTCAGGAACCCTTTGCCTGAGTTAGTCATAAGTCTGGAGCTTACTTCAAGAGAAGGCCATCTCCCCCATAGAAACTTCCACAGGCAAATTTGTCTTCCTGAGTCTGAAATTAACTAAACCAATACTTGATTCCTAACATACCCGCCACTTGCCTGCTCTGTTGAGCTCTGGCTATTCCCAGTTACAAACTGGTCAAGTCTGGACTACATTTCAAATTCTTCTGACATAAATAGCTGTTTGAATGATGTCTCTACCATTAGACTGTTAGCTCCATGAGAGCAGGGATTGTGTATTTTTGGTTTTGTTTTGATCCCTAGCCTTGTTTTCTACCTTTCTCTATAACTAGGGGCTTACCACAGTGCCTGGTATACACTATGTGCATAAAGAAGGAAGGAAGGAACGATGAAGGAAGGGAAAAATAAAGGAAAAGAGGAAGGAAGAAATAAAGAAAGAAGGAAAGAAACTAAGACGGGAGGAAGAAAACAGAAAGTTGTATACTTTCTAATTGTGACAACTATGGTGAAGTTTTTAGTATATAAAATGTCAAACATTTTACATGGATAAAATAAATGCAACTAGAATAAGACAAACCTTGCAGCAAGAAAACATTTACCATAAACATCTCAGATAATCTGATATCCAAGTCATATATGAGACTGATACCAATAGATGACCAAGAATATTCCCCTACAATTAAGTGGTCAAGGAGAATATGAACTGTTTTGTTTCATATATATCTATATCTATGTCTATATCTATATATATCTATATATCTATATCTATAGATATATCTATAGATATCTATAGATATAGATATCTATAGATATATATGTATATATATGCATGTATGTATGTACGTATATGTATATGTGTGTATATATATACATTTACATGTGTGTGTATATATGTGTGTGTGTGTGTATACACACACACACACACACACACACACACACACACACATATTTGTATCTTTTGTTTCAGAGCAATCTAACTACCAGATAAATTTCACCATTCCCTTGCCCAATAGGGCATCCCTTGTAACAGAGAATCTAAAAGAAAAAGAAAATAATAGTTCAGTAAAATTAAGCAATGGCCAAGTTTCCCAGAATATTAAATTGAACATTTTTTCCAATGAATTTCAAGCCATTTATAACCATTTTGAAGATTATTCCAAATCATTAATTACAAGATGACTGCAAATGATAACAACTCTGAAGTTTAGCCTTATAATTCTCAAATGTAAAGTTATTTATAAACAGATACCGTTTATTTTTGATGGATCGGCAGCAAAGTGGTGCAGTGGATAGTGATGGACCATGGAATCAGAAAGACTCATCTTCATGAGTTCATTTCTGGCCTCAGACACCTATTATCTCTGTCATCCTGGGCAAGTCTCTTAACCTTGTTTGCTTCAATTCTTCATCTGCAGAATGTGCTGGAGAAGGAAATGGCAAACTACTCCAGTATCTTTTCCAAGAAAACATCAAATGGGATCACAACATCTCAGACACATCAGAAAGGACTGAACAACAACAATGGGAAGACAGACATATGTATCCAGGTTCAGTCAAGCTCTGAATAGGTCCACATAGTTTTAAAAGTAATTTGGAATTAAGAAAGAGCAGCTAATAAAGGTCAAGGAGGTCAAAGTCAGAAGGAACAATCCTATATATAAGAAGCTGTTTATGACTGTTTTTAACTGTAGAAAACCACACTTAAAATGACTTAAATGACATAAATGCCCATCTACTAGAGGATAGCTGAAGAAATTATGATTGCATAAATATAATGAACTACTGATTTAATCATAAGAAATGAAGAATATAATAAATTTAGAGAAACAGGAAAAATTCTGTGAATTCAGGTAGAGGGAAACAAGCTGAACTAGGAGAACAATATGCACAATGACTTTATTTTTTTTTCATTTAAAAAAAATTTTTTTTTCCATATGCTTTTGAGTTGAAAATTTGTCTCCCTTTTTCTCCCCCCCCCTCCCCAAGACAGTGCACAATCTGACTTAGGCTTTACATTTACATACCCATTAAACATATTTTCACATTAGTGAAGTTGTAAGTAAAAATTAAAACCAATAGGAAGAACCATCAGAAAGATGAAACAAAACTCAACAGAAGGTAAAAATAAGTGAGAGTGATGCGACTTCCATAGTTCTTTCTTTGGATGAGGACAGCATTTTCCTTCCCGAGGCCTCTGGAGATGTCTTAGGTCCTCATAATGATGAGAAGGGTTCAGTTTAACATGCTTAGTCATTGCATAACGTGGCAGCTACTGTGTACAAAGTCCTCTTGGTTCTGCTCACTTCACTCTGCATCAGACCATATAAGTCTTCCCGGGTTTTTCTGAAGTCAGCCTGTTCATCATTTCTTATAGCACAATAGTATTCCATTACATTTATATACCACAACTTGCTCAGCCATTTCCCAATTGATGGGCATTCTCTCAACTTCCAATTCTTTGCCACCACAAAAAGAGCTGCTATGTATATTTTTGTACATGTGGGTCCTTTTCCCATTTGTTTGATCTCTTTGGAATATAGCCCTAGAAGTGCTATTGCTGGATCAAAGGGTATGCACATTTTTATAGCCCTTTGGGCATAGTTCCAAATTGTTCTCCAAAATGGTTGGATCATTTCACAACTCCACCAACAATGTATTAGCGTTCCAATTTTCCCACATCCTCTCCAACATTTATCATTTTCCTGTTTTGTCATGTTGGCCAATCTGATAGGTGTGATGTGGTGCCTCAGAGTTGTTTTGATTTGCATTTCTCTAATTAATAACGATTTAGAGCATTTTTTCATATGACAATAGATGGCTTTAATTTCTTCATCTGAGAACTGTCTGTTCATATCCTTTGACCATTTATCAATTGGGGAATGGTTTGTGTTCTTATAAATTTGTCTTAATTATCTATATATTTTAGAAATGAGGCCTTTATCAGAAAGACTGGTTGCAAAAATTCTTTCCCAATTTTCTACCTTCCTTCTAATCTTAGTTGCATTGGCTTTGTTTGTGCAAAAAGGTTTTCAATTTAATGTAATATTATTTCATTGTCTATGGTGCCTTTTAGCAGGATGTAGTTTCCTTCCTTATCTCTTTTGATTAGATCTATTTTTGCTTTTGCTTTATCAGAGATCAGGATTGCTACCCCTGCTTTTTTTTACTTCAGCTGATGCATAATATATTCTGCTCCAGCCTTTTACCTTTACCCTGTATGTGTCACTCTTTTTCAAATGTGTTTCCGTAAACAACATATTGTAGGATTATGGTTTTTAATCCATTCTGCAATCCATTTCCTTTTTATGGGAGAGTTCATCCCATTCACATTCACAGTTATGATTACTATCTGTGTCTTTTTCTCCATCCTTTTCCCCCCCTATTTATGCTTTTCTTTCTCTTTTTCCTTTCCCCCCTTCACTAGTGTTTTGCTTTTGACCACCGCCTCCTTCAGTCCCTCCCCCTTTTATTATCCCTTTCCCTTTTCTTCCCCTTTAGTCTTACTGCTGCTTCCCTCCCTCCCTTCCCCCCTCCCTTTTCTTTTCCCTTTTCCCTCCTGCTGCCTATAGGGCAAGTTAGATTTCT